ATAGGCTTTTTCCTTGGGGTTAAGTTTATTTTTCAAATTGAAATTTAGGAAGCTGAAGAGCCAAATTGAACATAAGTTAAAACTTAAATTTTACCATGTTATGTGGCCAACAACTCCTGATGGTTTTTCAAAGTCTTCATAAAGATTGGTGAAAGAAATTCCACAACAAATGAATTTTATTATTTATCATTATAATGTTTTCACTTAGGGTGTTTCTGGAATGTTCATGAGCCTGAAATACTTAGAAATGTCCATTAGGTTATGTTTTATCATAACCTTTTCATTATTCTTGTTAAATTAAGTATGGTTTTGTTGCTGTTGTTTTTAGGATCCCAAATCCTTCTGTGGAATCTTTTGCAAATAAAATTTCCTCTTTACATAGAAGGAATTCTAATGGAGGAAAGTCTCTGCTCCTTTATATTGACAGCTTTCTTTGTTGCCAAACCAGGCTTTGCTGCCACTTTCAGTGTGCGAACTTTTCCCTAAGGAGTCTGCCATACGTATTTTCAAGCACTACCCTGTGTTCATATAGCCATTATAAAGTGTGATTTTGTCTGTCTTCCATTAGCGGTTTTTTGTTTTTGTTTTTGTTTTGAGGAACCTCCATACTCTTTTCCATAGGGGCTGCACCAGTTTACATTCCTACCAACAGTGTAAAGGGCTCCCTTTTCCCCACATTCTCAAAAGAATCTTATGATCTTTTTTCTTTCTTTTTTTTTTTTTTTGATAACAGCCATCCCAACATATAAGGTGATATTTCTTTGCAGTTTTGATTTGAGTTTCCCTGATAATTAGTGATGTGAGAACGTTTTCATATACCTGTTGGCCATCTGTATCTCTTCTTTGACGAAATATCTATTCAATTCCTTCGTCCATTTTTAAAATCATTTGTTTTGTTTTGTTTTTGCTGCATTTTGGATATTAATCCTTTGCCAGATATATGGTTTGCAAGTATTTTCTCCTGTTCTGTAGGTTTCCTTTTCTTTGTGTTGTTTCCTTTGCCATGCAGAATCTTTTTAGTTTGATGTCATCCCACTTAATCTGTTTTTGCTTTTGTTGTCTGTACTTTTCATAGCATATCCAGAAAGCATGGCCACAGCTGTTGTCAAGAAGCTTTTTCTCTGTGTATTCTCCTAGGAGTTTTATGTTTAAGTCTTTAATTCATTTTGAGTTGATTTTTTGTGTATGGTGTAAGATAAGGGCCCAGTTGTCTTCCATTAGCATTTTCTCTATGGTCCTTAGACTAAAAACTCTTGTTATAATGGCCCTAAAGTAAGCTATAGGATTTTATATTGATATTATTTATAAATGATCTTTTCCTCCAAAACCATTTACTATCCACAAGATTTTTTTTTGTTTTAGTTAGTATCAGTCAGTTCATATTAAATATTTACACATTTTTCCCTCCCTTTCTCTTTCCAGATATTTCTTTATTATCATAGGCTAAGATCGGATGTTATTTTTTTTCTTTATAAATCATGCAATTTTCTTTTTAAAAGTCAAACATTCACAAAGTCTTTGATAAAACTTTGAGTTAATTTTGGTCAATTACCAAAAAAATCATAGTAAAACACAAGATTTACCACTTCATTCGTTTTTTTTAAAAGATTTATTTATTTATTTTAGAGAGGTGGAGGGGCAGAGGGAGAGGGAGAGAGAGTCTTAAGCAGACTCTGCGCTGAGCGCAGAGCCCAACGTGGGGCTCAATCTCGCCACCCTGAGACCACCACCTGAGCTGAAACCCAGAGTCAGAAGCCTATCCGACTGTGTCACCCAGACACCCCACCATTTCATTCATTTTTAAGACTACAATTCAGGGACAACAAGTACATTCACAATGTTGTACAACCATCACTGATTAACTTTTAAAAAGATAATAGTGATACCATTTATTGAACTCCTTCCATATGTATTTATTTCATTCATTTTTCAAAATCCCTATGAAGTTCCCAGGTCATGTGACTGGAAAGTGGCAGAATGGGTTCTAGCCCACGTCTTTCTGACTAGTTCAAAATCCGATTTTTTTTTTTTTTTGTAGGTGTATAAGTTTAAAATTTGTATTAATGTGGGTGATGGACATGAAGGAGGGCACTTCATGTAATGAGCAGTGGGTGTTATATGCAACTGATGAATCACTAAATTCCACCCTGAAATTAATAATACACTGTATGTTAACTAATTTGAATTTAAGTAAAACCAATAAATAAATAAATAAATAAATAAAATTTGTATTAATGTAATGCAGGCACACAGTTGAAAAATCAAATAAAAAACAAAATGATAAAAGTAATGGAGGAGGGGCACCTGGGTGGCTCAGTCGTTAAGCATCTGCCTTCGGCTCAGGTCATGATCCCAGGGTCCTGGGATCGAGCCCCGCATCCGGCTCCCTGCTTGGCGGGAAGCCTGCTTCTCCCTCTCCCACTCCCGCTGCTTGTGTTCCTGTTCTCACTATCTCCCTGTCTGTCAAATAAATAAAATCTTTAAAAAAAAAAAAGTAATGGAGGAAATATACAGAATAATTTGTTGATAGCCTTAAAGTAAGAAAGATGTTCCTCTTAAATAAGATAAAAAGCAAAGGACAATAAAAAGGTGATATATTGATTGGGCGCCTGGGTGGCTCAGTTGGTTAAGTGACTGCCTTCGGCTCAGCTCATGATCCTGGAGTCCCGGCATCGAGCCCCGCATCGGGCTCCCTGCTCGGCAGGGAGTCTGCTTCTCCCTCTCCCACTCCCCGTTTGTGTTCCCTCTCTCGCTGTGTCTTTCTCTGTCAAATAAATAAATAAAATCTTTAAAAAAAAAAAAAAAGGTGATATATTGATGAATTTGACTACACTAAAAATTTTAAATTTCTGTCTGATAAAAAAAATACCAGAGTTAAAGAAATGGATAGACAGAAAATATTTGCACTGTATATAACCAGCAAAGGTTTATAAGTCAGAATATGTATATATTCATATATGTGTGTATGTATGAATATATATATATATTCCTTTACATCAATAAGAAAAAGACAACTTAATAGAAAGTAAGCAAATGATATGAACAAACAATTCATAGGAGACAAAATACGAACAGTCAATAAACATATGAGAAGATGTTAAACCTCACTGGTAATCAGGGAAATAAGTGAAATTTATTCTGGAAACAAGAATGAAATGTCACTCTTCAACCAGCATATTGGTAAACATTACAAAGTTGACCATATTAGGTTTGGTGAGGTTATAGGAAAATAGGTGTTCTCCTACATTGATGGTGAAGGTGAAATTGGTCAGTCAACTTTGAGGGTAATTTGAAAATTCATATACCATATGACCCAGCAGTTCCACCTCTATGCATCTATGCTAGAGAAGCACTAACACACATATGCAGGAAAACTCATAAAAAGGCAATCATTGTGGTTGGTGGCTGGTGGCTGGTGGCTGGGTGGCTCATTCTGTTTGGCATCCAGCTCTTGATTTCTGCTCAGGTCATGATCTCAGGGTTGTGAGATTGAGCTCCACAGTGGGCTCTGCACTAGGTATGGAGCCTGCTTAAGATTCTCATAAAAAGGCAATCATTGTGGCTGGTGGCTCAGATGGTTAAGCGTCTGCCTTCAGCTCAGGTCATGATCTCAGGGTCCTGGGATCGAGTCCCGCATCGGGCTCCCTGCTCCTTGGGAGCCTGCTTCTCCCTCTGCCTTTCTCTCTCGCTCTGTCTCTCATGAATTAAAAAAAAAAAAAAAACTTAAAAAAAAAAAAAAAGATTCTCTCTTCTCCTTCTCCCCCTCCCCCCTATTTACCTCCTCTTAAAAAAGAAGCAATCATTGTATCATTTTTACAATGAAACATGAGAGCAAGTAACATGTCCTTTGGAAGAGGAATGACTAAATAAACTGTAGCTATATTATGCAATGTTACGCAGCATTTTAACAGGAGGTAGTTTTGGAGCACCTGGCTCAGTCGATTGGGCATCAGACTCTTGATTTTTGGCTCAGGTCATGATCTCGGGGTCGTGGGATCAGTCCCACATCAGGCTCCATGCTCAGCACAGAGTCTGCTCGTCCCTCTCCCTTTGCTCTTCCTCCCCATCCCCCACCCTCACTCATGCTCTTGCTCTCTAAAATAAATAAATAAAATCTTTAAAATAAAATAAAAAATAAAAATATAGAAAAAGGATTTACATATACTAGGTGACATTCATCCCAGTTTACCCAAGATAGCCCCAATTTATACTGGATCTCCAATTCACACTCTAAAGTGCCCCATTGGATAGATCTCCAACCTATTTTTGGGTGGGGAAAAAAGCAGGAAACCTAAAGACACAGAATAGTGGATTGGTTTCACAACAAACTGGGTGGCTTAAAATAACAGAAATTTATTGTCTCATAGTTCTGGGGGCTAGAAGTTCAAAAGCAAGGTGTCAGCAGAGCCAAGCTCCTTTTGAAAGCTATAAGGAAATCCTTCTTCCTCCTAGGAGAATACTCTTCCTAGCTTTTGGTGGCCCCAGGTGTTCTTTCACCTAGGGCAGCATAATTCCTGTCCTCCATCTTCACATGGCATTCTCCCTGTGTCTTCACACAGTCTTCTATCTGTATGTGTCTGTCTCCATGTCCAAATTTCCCCCTTCATAAGGACACCAGTCGTACTTCGATAAAAAAATAAATATTTCTACCTTAGTTCCATTTCCAGAGGGAACCACTTTTTAATTGTTAGCTCTTTTTCTTACTACTTACCTTTGATGATTTAAATAACATGCTTAAGAAGATAATTTCTACCTCAGAGCATCATTGAGAGGAGCAAATGAATTATTACATGTCAAGAACTTAGAACTATGCTTGGCATATTAATACTTAATATAGGTTGGCTATTAGTATTTTCATTATACCATTGTTTTGTCATTTATCAATTTTAGACATTACTTATTGACTTCAGCAGTGATAAATGAGGATGTAGGGCTCTTATACCACCCCTCTCCCCTCTCTTATCATCTCAATTGCTTAATCTTGTCAAACACTGATTAACTCAGTTTGAAGTTCTTCCAAGTTGTTCTAATTTCCCCATTGCTTCAGCTTCAAACTCACCAGTATCTAACAGGCTCTTGTCAGAATTACTGCCCTAAAATTTGGAAGAGAATCTGGTTGCCTTGATTGTGGAGAAGTGGTTTTTAATTTCTTGCTGAATCCCTCTCTTTCTTGGCCTTTCCTTTTGTAAATTGAACTAGACTAGTACTGTGCTTCTATTCTGTTTTCCCTCAGCTTCTAGAGATCTAGTTTCAGAGTACCGACCTAAATGATACTGTCAACAATACGTATTTGTTACACAGGGAAGGTAGTCAGTAATACTGTAATAACTTTGTATATCACCATACACATCCCTGTGTGGTAACTAGGCTTATTGTGGGGATCGTGTCAAAATGTATAAAAATTTCGAATCACTATGATGTACACCTGAAACTAATAAGATATTGTGTGTCAATTATCCTTCAATAAAAAAATAAATATTTGGGGTGCCTGGGTGGCTCAGTTGGTTAAGCGACTGCCTTCGGCTCAGGTCATGATCCTGGAGTCCGGGGATGGAGTCCCGCATCAGGCTCCCTGCTCAGCGGGGAGTCTGCTTCTCCCTCTGACCCTCCCCCCTCTCATGCTCTCTCTCTCTATCTCATTCTCTCTCTCAGATAAATAAATAAAATCTTTAAAAAAAAAATAAATAAATAAATAAATATTTGTTGATGGACTGAAGGCTCTTTTATTATTGTTTTTACTATAATGATACATTTTAGTCTTACCAAGTTAGAATTGAACTCACTGTGAAAACCTACTCACAACCCACACGGGAAGTGTAATAACTACTTCCCGTGTGCAAGTTACTCTTCACAACAGTGTCTAATATTCATAAGAACTCTTTATTTTAAAACATTTTATTGTGGTTTAAATATATACAAAATAAGAGAGAGTAGTATAATGACCTGGTACCTATAACCTTAATTCAAAAGGTATCAACATATAACCAATCTTATTTATATATACTCCTATATACTCCCCCTCCCAAACTGGTTTATTTATTTATTTAATTTATTATTATTTTTTCAAACTGGATCATTTTAAAGTAAATTCCAGACTTCATCTATGGATATGTAGGAGATCAGAATATGCCTCCCCAAATAAGCCACTAGTGGCATAAGGATTATTTTGAGCTGGAGGCAATGGAGAAAAAGACACAGGATGAAATTTCTGCCATCCCTCTGTCTTCCTGAAACCACCATAAATCCTCCTTTCAAAGATGTGTGCCCCTTTCCCATACAAGGGAGAGAATAACAACCTTATGACCTGAGAGGAAAGGGCACCAAGAAAGAGTTTACACAAACAAACTTTGCTACAGCTTGCCACCTCTTTTTTTTTTTTTTCAGGTGAAACAATTTTATTTCACAGTTGTCTTTAAAACCACAAAGACACTATGTTCTTCATATAAAAACATCAGTACAGATACCTATACTTTCTAGAAAATGATTATATAGACCCTCTCAAAGAAAAATGCACACCATTATATGGTTTCAGACAAGTTGCTAGGGAAAAACACATCTGGACTGATTCCTACGTACAGATTATTGTCATCAGTACATGTTCCTGCATTCTTACAGATTTGATAATAAACATACAGACTGGCTTGTAACTTAATG